TCAAAGGCATACGAAAAGCTTATACCGTAATTCCTAAGGACGAGAATAATGAACATTAATGTACATGGTCATCGCAAAATATGTAACATTGAAAATAATTAAATTCTCAGATCATTATCAACATCTGAATTACAGACATCAAAAAATCTTTTTCACTGAATACAAGACAGCAAATGATCACGGAAATTCTCCCAGAAAATTATAACAGCAAACCTATAGAAAGTCAATCTGCGCGCAGCTCGACCGGGTTGCGAACGACGGGGTCGCGGTGTTTCGCATGTTGCACCATTCACATCATCATCCAGAATTACTCCGGGCAGACGACCGATGCTGAACCTAAGCCTCGACCTTCTCCGATATCTACCCATCAAATTTCCGAAATAAGAAAAATAAAAGATGGAGCGAACAATGGGGCCAACGAACAGGTTTTGCGAAACAAGTGTCAATCCTTGTTCAAGTTATTAAAACAACTAGTGATTTCAATTTTTTTAAGCAAGAGACACTCGGAGAAGATTGAAAATTCAAACCAGTGTGAGAGAAACAACAAGAGTAGGGTTCAACAGGAAAGATGAATAACAAAGATTTATTGAAGCGTAGTTAAATATTCAGCTTCGAAGTACAACATGAACAACTTTCAGCAGGTACCTGTACTCGAACTTGACCAAAAATACGCAATTCATGTTACTTCATGAATGTACTGTATTGAAGTTCATTTTTTTTCGCGGGGACTTGAAATGACAATGACATCTTCAAAAATGCATGAAATATCGAATTGTATAGAATCCCAGGTCCAAAAGTTCTGTAATTATTGATGAAAATTATTCAAGGTCTGAAAGGTAAGATGGAATAGAGTTGCCCAGGAGTCTCACGCGCTATCAGAAAAACTAATCATCAGTGTATAATTCTGTAAAAAACACTGACGTGAAAATTCCTCTTTTGTCGGTCACAGGAGAGACTTCGAATCACAGACTGAACAGCACGTCTCCCACGGGAAGTTCGCCATCACCAGTATTCGGCAAGTTCAGAGAACTCAGCAAATCCAGTGATTCACCACCATCGTTCAAATTTTGCTCAGCAGAATCTTCCATTTTCTGCTGCGGAAATTCGATTTCGTTCCGTGCTCCCGCGGTTTTTTCCTCATCATCAAGCAAAGGTCTTCCAGTACCTTCAGCATGACACGTTTTGTGAGCTACCAGTCTGCATTTGAATTTGAAAACTTTCCCACATATTTCGCAGGGAAACCGTTTTGGCGTTTTACACAGGCTCACGTGGCTTTTCAATTTGGCAGGGGTTTCGAAGACTTTGTCACACGTCGTGCAAATTAGCACAGCGCTCCCATTTGCTACTGAACACCGCCTATAAATAAAAAGAAAACCTCTCCACTTTATGATTTACACTCGCTTTCCATCAGTTCTTCGCACAAATCAGATGCGCTCTATCAGTAGCAAAAATAATACAGGGGAAGAGGTAATGACGTTTTTTTTTTGCGATGACGCAAAAATCTATCTCAAAACATGCACAGTAATTAAAAATTCAAATTTACTTATAATGGTCGAGATTTCCATTTCCGAAGTATCCCCTTTCACCGCACTCTTCGCAAATTCGCCACAAATGCTCATTTTCGTGATAGATGTTCACATGCTCTTTGAGCAATCTTCCAGACTTGAAGCGTTTCTGGCACGGCGAACATTCGAACGCTGTTTCCGAAGTAACGTGAGTTTCTCGGAAGTGCCGATCACGGTCACAAGCGTAGTTGAACATTTTTTCGCATTTTCCGCACTGGAAACTTACTTGAAGCGTTTCTGGCACGGCGAACATTCGAACGCTGTTTCCGAAGTAACGTGAGTTTCTCGGAAGTGCCGATCACGGTCACAAGCGTAGTTGAACATTTTTTCGCATTTTCCGCACTGGAAACTGAACGAGAAAAAAATTGTTGAGGGCACGCGTCAAATTTCACAAGGTCGTCAGTTTTAAATATTGTACATTACTGTGTTCAGATACTTTGTCTGGCATGAAAATATCAAATTATATGTTCTTTAAATGGTTGCTGCTTCATACGTTGTTCATTTCCAGTCGGGTCGTTATGTTCTCCAAATCTTGTACATGGAATGAGACATTGACGTAATTTTCAAGGATTTATATTCGAATATTTCTTGTACTGTACATATTTTTTCATTTTTGCTCACCCACGTTTGCAGAAAAGAGAAAATTTAAACTGCCACGAACCAAGCGGAAATAAAGTTTTTCCGTAACTCTCGGGCCTTATATAATTTAGAGGCAGTACAAGCCCGATCAAATCGTTCAGATAATCGCTATAGGAATAATGTCTTCATCATTTCGTTCCACGAAAAATAAAAATGAATCGGTCGTTGACATGGAAAGGCCTGAAATTTTAATTGGCAAGCGAGGAGCAGTCGAAGTTGTGCAGCGATATCAAAGACAAATCTGAAGAAAATGAACCGAGACTTGCTCAACATGTCATTGATCCAACAATGATTTATAGAATTCTGACTCAAAAAACTTGGCTCCTCAACGAAGTTTATTTGGAGAGATAACCTTCGGGCTTGAAAAATTTTTGAACAGTTTCAAACAAGTACCGTATATACTCTAATAAACACCGGCTCTCTAATACTGTACTGCAGTAGCCAGGTCAAAGAAAGGGGGACTGGTACAAATTCCGCGAATTTTCTTTACCATAATAATCCTTTCCACAATTTGATCCTGCATGTTTCTACGTCTACGTCTGACGTACTGAACAAAGAAATTCTTTACCGTCAGCATTTTATGAAGCATTCCTGTTACTTGAAGCGTTTCTGGCACGGCGAACATTCGAACGCTGTTTCCGAAGTAACGTGAGTTTCTCGGAAGTGCCGATCACGGTCACAAGCGTAGTTGAACATTTTTTCGCATTTTCCGCACTGGAAACTAAACGAGAAAAAAATTGTTGAGGGCACGCGTCAAATTTCACAAGGTCGTCAGTTTTAAATACTGTGTTCAGCAACTTTGTCTAGCATGAAAATATCAAATTATATGTTCTTTAAATGGTTGCTGCTTCATACGTTGTTTCCTTTCCAGTCGGGTGGTTATCTTCACCAAATATTGTACATGGAATGAGACATAGACGCAATTTTCAAGGATTTATACTTGAATATTTCTTGTATATATTTTTTCATTTTTGCTCACCCACGTTTGCAGAAAAGAGAAAATTTAAACTGCCACGAACCAAGCGGAAATGAAGTTTTTCCGTAACTCTCGGGCCTTGTATAATTTAGAGGAAGTACAAGCCCGATCAAATCGTTCAAATGATCCGTGTAGGAATAATATATTCATAATTTCGTTCCACGAAAAATAAAAATAAATCGGTCGTTGACATGGAAAGGCCTGAAATTTTAATTGGCAAGCGAGGAGCAGTCGAAGTTGTGCTGCGATATCAAAGACAAATCCGAAGAAAATAAACCGAGACTTGCTCAACATGTCATTGATCCAACAATGATTTGTAGAATTCTGACTCTAAAAACTTGGCTCCTCAACGAAGTTTATTTGGAGAGAAAACCTTCGGGCTTGAAAAATTTTTGAACAGTTTCAAACAAGTACCGTATATACTCTAATAAACACCGGCTCTCTAATACTGTACTGCAGTAGCCAGGTCAAAGAAAGGGGGACTGGTAAAAATTCCGCGAATTTTCTTTACCATAATAATCCTTTCCACAATTTGATCCTGCATGTTTCTACGTCTACGTCTGACGTACTGAACAAAGAAATTCTTTACCGTCAGCATTTTATGAAGCATTCCTGTCTCATTTTATGATGAACATCGCAAATTCAAGTTCCTACCCACTCTTCATTTTGTTCCACGGACACTTTTTTCAAAAATAATCGCCAGTCTTTAATAGTAGCCGTCCTCTACTAAACGCCCGGAATTTTGTTTTAAATCGTAAATAAACGCCGGGAGCGTTAATTGGAGCATATACGGTAAATGGAACTTGAATCCACACACGTTTCTGCCGTGTGCGCAGCCGCCATGTGCCTCAACAACTCATTCCTCATGGCAAACTTCTTCGAACAAGACTTGCAAGAATGCATCCGCCCAAGATGAGACCTCAAGAGATGCCCTTTGAAGGCTCTCAGACTATTGATGGCCTTCCCGCACAGGGGACAAGACACCCGCTCGCTTCCGCTCTTCCATTCGTCCGCACTCACGTTGAATGCACAACGGATCAAATGAATGTGGTATTCGTCCTCTGAGGCGAATGGTTTGTCGCATTTAGGACAACGCAAAACGGGTCCGTTGTGCAGCGTCAAATGCTTGCGCACATTTTTCGAACGGACGAAACTCGCAAAGCAAACCGAACAAGAAACGCTGTCTTCCTCTTCCACAGCATCACCATCGTCACCTTTCTGTCACGAACAGAATACTGTAAGAATCAACTATTCTTATAACTGCGATGAAAGATAGTTTTGGGGCATTCGAAGTATTTTAAGAGGTTAGTCAGTTTTTAAATTCCTAATTGGTTGACAGCGTTACTTACTTACTTTCTTCCGAATTCAATTTTTAGATAAAGTTGAACCTTAGGCATGGTGATCTTCCTTCAAGCTTTGAATCAATTACATCAGGGCGCAAAAATGCTGTTTTCGCAGTTTTTATCTTTTTAAAGTTTTTTAAACTTTTTTTACAGTGCAATAGACGCAGTCTAATTAATTTTAAAACAATGAAAAAATAAAAAATAAACGAGAAATAAAGAATAATGCTGAAGACTTAACGTGTTGATCAATGAAATAGGGTTCCTATCAAACTGCCAACTTCACATTCACTCTCGTCCCAATTAAAACTTTTTTTTACATCATGTTCGCGCAATAATAGATAACACATATACAACGAATTTATTACAAGAACTCGTAATATAAATAGTATGGTGTTTTCTGATGTTTCGGAAAGTGACGCACTGACAATCCAAATAAAATATTCCGTACACATTTGAGCGGGGGACACAAGGCGGTTCGTGTGATTAGCGAAACTTTTACCTGAATGCCAACGTTCCGTAAAATTTTTGCGCAAAATTTTCGCAGTTTTCTTTCGGGGATCGCAGGGGATTCGAAAAGGTTTTCCGACACAGCACTTCCGCCTTCATTCGCCGCGACTTGAGAGCGATGTTGTTTAACTGGAGACGAAGAACCGACCGTCTGCTGAGACGGTCTTCCTTCTGAGGCTTCTACGACAAAAAGCTCGTTGCGAAATGCTCCTAAAGCGTCATCCTCTGGTTGCCCATCTGGACAGGGAAAACCCAAGCCGATCCAATCATGCGGCGCAGATTTTTTTGGCTGACAACAAACGTATTGAATAAGCAAGCATTCCCGCATGGGCCATGATTACGCGAATGGGACTTCCGAGCACAGTCGTAAATCCTTTTTCAACAGTTGAAAGATTTCGAATAATTTTAATGCAGCCTTCGGCTTTCTCTTTTGAAGATTTTAAGCATATGACGAATTTTTCAATTTTGGAATTGCCAAGCTCGACCGTTCAATATTCCTTGATAATTTAGGCCAGTGCTGCCCAACTCAGATGCGGACAAAAGCCACATTAATAAATTTGTCACGGCAAAGGGTCACATTGCAGAGGTGGAAACTCCCTGAGGGCCACAATAGACACATTTTAAGGACTAAGGTTCCAAATATTCCCATTTTTAATGAAAAGTACTGCATCAAATCTAATGCAGCGCTATGTATTAAATCACAAGCATATTCATGGAGAATTTCCGAAGGGTGGAGCAACATTATGCATTTGGAAGTTGATCTTTCAATATATTTCGAATAGTGGCAGCTTCCACCTTGAATAATATAGGGAAGGGACCGCGGGACGGATGAAGTGCCTTTGCGGGCCTGATCTGGAGCGCGGGCCGTATGTTGGGCAGCACTGGAGCAGTTGGGCTAATTAATTTTAGAGACACAGGAAGTAGTAGAAGATCGTCAATGCTAAAATAAAGCATAGAATGGAGGGGTGGATGAATGACGCACAGGCATTCGGTTTTTTTGGTATCTTCTTTGATTTCACATTGTAGGAAAGCACACAAATTGGGAATGATCTCATCACTTAAGTTACCCGTATTCACTCGAGTACCACTCGCCTTCGAATAATACGCCCACCCAGTTTTCTGGTCCTAAAATGTGGATAAAAACATATCCTCGAGAATGACGCGCACCCCAATCCAGTGAATAGAAAATGTCAAAGTTTGACAATAAAGCATGAAAATTCTAAGATTTACTCAAATGGAACCCACTTTAAATTAATTTCCTCATGTTTTTTGTTTCTATAAAAAAACACAAATTGTTTATTGAAACTTTTTAAAATTCTCTATAAAAATCGATGAGGACGCGAACCGGAAGTTTGACAAATTACGATTTTACACCCGTTTATGACACGCACCCTATTTTTTCCATTTACTCTTGAAAAACAGGTGCGCATGGTACTCGCGTAAGTGAGAAACCCTTCGTAATTCCAAACCGTTACTTCCAACCGTTTTAGCACGAGGTAAATTCTGTTTGAACTATCGGGTGTCAAGAAAAAATTGCAGAAACGTCTCACCTTTTCTTCGCTGACTGTGCAATGATCCCTAGTGCCAATAAATCGCCGTCGTTCCCTCAGCCGCAACAAGGCCTCCTTCAAACATTCTTCAAAGCCTCTCGCTTCCTCAAACAACGTCAAACACTGGCCACACAAGAACTCGTTCAACTGTTTCTCTTTCGCGTCTTCCACAGCCGGCGTTTGCGAGTCAAAGTCTGACAAATCTAAACCGAGAACGCGACACAACTGCCACACAACCCCGGATCGCGTCCACAATTCTTCGTCAGTCACCGGCGGGTTCCGAAGTTCGTCACCCTGACAGTCGTCCTCTATGCCGAAGTTGTTCAAGTCGGATATTGGCAAATGGACCGAAGGGATAGCGGAAGAATCATTCCCGATGTTATCGAACACTTGGCCACACATCACGCAATGAGACATTCTCCAGGGAATGGGACACGAAAATTCTCCTGAAACTACGGGATAATAGATTTAAAATCGCGCACGCCGAAATAAAGTCTTCACAATTTTAAGACAGGAATGAACTGTTCCATTAGGCCCTTTCATAAGTTTGTTGTAATTTTTGTTAATTGGACTTCAAAATTTAGCGATTACTTTTATTGTAAATAAATCCGAATGGTAGAAGTAATTTGAATGAGAACGAACTCATTTGCGAACAAGCTGACGTTTCGAAATTTCTACGTAACTGATACGAGAGAAAATTTTAAATTTTTGGACGAAAATTTATGATAACAATTTCGACAGGACAGTTGACATCTTATAATGTACAGTGGTGCTTTACAGAAGTACAATAAATCGCAATTTCTTCCCAGAAGTGCCTCGATGTCAAGGAACCATCCAATTCAGATTATGGGAAGAAAACTTGATGCGTTCCCTAACGCGAAGAGAATAACTTTCCACTGTATTACAACTCCGCTTTTCTTGAGAACCCGACTAAATCATTCAAGAAAAATTAGAAAACAGGAAATATCACCTCTCCAATACTTAGGAATCACTGGGGGAATCGGTGACACACGGGTGATTTTTAATTTAAATTCGAATTCCCCCGTGTAATTGATTGGTGGCTCGACCAGCCACCAACCAATGCAATTTGCCGCTGGGGGCAAGGTATGTTGAATGACTCATCGGGGATCTTGAGCGTAATATTCGATGCACGAAGAATCATTTTATTTCGCGTGAACTCAGATTAAAACTTGGATAAATCGCTGACAGTCCTCAAGAATTTGCAGCCCTTCAAGGAACAGCTAATTTCCGTCAGAATCAAAATTTTCCCCTGACTCCTGTGCACCGCAACTTTTATGAAACAAGAAACTGGAACGATTCACGAGATGACGAACAAAATAATGCATTTATGAAAGTTGCAGGAGATAGAACAGCAATTAGAAAAGTTACAGGAAAAGGCAAATGAAAAATGATTTTCTTTTTTCACCTGGTTCCTTAAAAGAAGCAGTGCAAAAGAGACCGGTTCAAATAAATTCGAACGCATTTTCATCCTATTCCCAGCATCACAGAGCCGTGATCGTCACAACTCTGAAGCGGGATTAAATTTCTTTGTTGGAATACCCGAAGTCCAAATTGATTCCCAGGATGAGAGGAATGCGACGCAGACTTACAACGCCCAGCACGCGAAACAACTTCCAGACGACCAAGTCAAAAAGTTTCCACCTTCCCCAGAAATCACAGAATCAACCATCATGAAAGCAATCAATCATCAATTATACGCGCCTGTAATTTCAAGACTGCCCCGACACAAAAAAGCATCTAATTCTAGCTAATACTCAAGGATAGCGAGACCAAGGCAAAAACAAAACCGATCAAAACAAAAAGAAAAAATTGAAAAAACAAAAAACGAACAGGTAAAACTAACGTGACACAGAAGAACGCCAGCGCAATCTTAAAGCGTAAAGTATCTCGAGAAACTGCCCATTACATGAATGACACTTCATAAAAAATTTACAAGAGGCGCTTAAACTCAACCCTTTAAACATTTGTTGATGTCGAGAGGGCTAAAAACAAAAGGCAACGAAAGGAAAATGGCAACACTGAATCAAAACAAAGGAACACATTATTGCACCATGTGGCGTATACCGAACTAACAACCTTAAGCCCTCCCGAGGGATAAATCAAATTGTCAGCGAACAAATTCTACGATTCACTCATTTCACACTTCCAAGTCTTTCCAAAATCTTGCTTATCTATCAGAAGTCTTCGCTCACACCGATCACGAACCCGGAAAAATATTCACCCTCGCGACACGAGAATATGTCTTCAAATAACTCAATGACATGAGTTTCGACGCAATCGCATCATACGTACAGTACGGTCACCACAGAATAAATTTAACTTATTCGCCTAATTTAACTTCCTGATATGCCAGGAAGATGTCACCTGTCACTAACTTAACCAAAAATAACCGAACATGACCGTGAGTTTACTCCAAATTCTGAACAAAATCTGTAACAACAAACCTGGAAGAAGATTTGATCGAGCAAAATGATCGCAAGTCCCGCGACACCCACGCGATGAAAAAATACGACGGCGCCCGGGTTATTATCATTTTAATTATTTTCAAGATCGCGCCCAGGACGTCGACCGTTGAAGTTAAAATTACCAATTATTCAAACCTAGGATTATTCTTCGAACTTGGACCACCTACTCTCTTGGACAATCCGCGATTGCTCGTCAGGATGATATCAAGAAAAGGACGCGTACTGAACAGATCAATTTCCCACAGTCACACACAGCGTTTATGCGCGTCGAAAGCCAAGCCAAAAAAAGGGAAGACAAAATTCATCCGGCGCGCGATCAAGAGGATCCTTCAATCCGTATCACACAGCGTCTTCACGATGCCGACAGGCTGCATACACCGGCTCTGCTTTCGACCGTGCCAATTCCTTGAGCTCCTTTGCCTTGGCAGCGGCAGCAACGCGAAGCTTCTCACCACTGGAAGCAGATTCGATTTTCGACACAGGATGTACACCAAGCATTCGCTGTATAGACTCTGCGAGGCCAGCGTTGGCCTTCTTCGTGTTGTGCTTGAATCGCTCGAGAGAGAATTTTTCGATTGCGAATGCAAAGCCGCGTACGCCAGACGAAAGCCATGCTGATCTCTCTGCAATCGTAAAACCGTCTTCCTCGCCCAACTTTGCAGGGTCGGTTTTCCGGTAAACTACACGTTCCACGACATTCTAAGGAACGAAAAAAAAAGGAATTAAATTGTTATAGTGTTCGTCAGCATACAAATTTTACAACTAGCTTCATAGTTCACGCATCACTAGAGTATTCGCCCACACCAATCACGAAACAAGAAAAATATTCAACCTCACAATTTGAAGAAGACATTCAGTACTTTTTTCATAAGAAAAATTATATTTATTTTTACGATCTCGATACTTGAAATTTCATATGAATGACCCCTGTCAACAAACGAACCGCAAAGATACACAAATATAATCGAACCTCATTCAATCTCGCGGGCGTAATTCAATAAAGCACAAAAGTTGCTGTGCTTTCAAAATATAGATAATTATGAACTCACCATAACATGAGTAAAACCGATGTTCCTCGTGTATGTTACAACGGTTTGTGCTTCAGGATCAACAATAGACTCTTCCACAATGTTAACAAAACGCTTCGAAATGAATCTGTCGGCCCATTTCGGAGCAGGATTTGTTTTCACGAGCAGCCTTCTCGTAAAGAGCTTCCCGTTCTCTACGTACCGTTCCAAAGTATCCTCAGAAAGTACGTGAGTACTGAAAATTGAAATAAATTCACAAAATTATTTCATTGCATAATTAAATCGTTCGAATCTGGTTTTGTTTCCGAATCGGTTTCTCTTGGAAAGCTGAGCAGTTCACTGTCAAACATCTGGTACGAGAGAAGCTGGGTTCTATTTCATTAAACCAACTCAATTGCCATTCTGTTCAGATAAATATCAAACATACCTTTGTGAATTTGGGTATCGCACCCAAAGTCCACGAGCGACAACATCCCAAGTGTACGGAAACAGAAAGCTACCCGCGCAAAACTTCACCATTTTTACCTCGAATGAACGACGACAGTGAGGGGAATAATCGATCGCTAAGAGGAAACCACACGAGCTCCCGGGCAAGATGCCCTTTCAGGTTAATCCTGGAACAATAAGCAAGAAAACTTGCAGTTAAAATTGTTAGAAGACAACCAATTCAGACAAAAATGGAGAAGAAATGAAACACAAAATATTCTTTTAAAAACAAATCTCAAAAAGTTCCACTTGAACAACACAATCAATGCCATCAGTCACTCGTGCTCAGAATCATGTTCGCACTGATCCACCCATCCATGAAGGCTACGAAATGCGATCAAAACTCGCGTCATGAAGTGAAACTCATTAACACGGAATGAGGTACACTTCATTACGTGAGTTTTTCTCTTCGAGGAAAATCCTAGTCCTGGCTTTTTTTTCGGGCCAGAAACTGGCGACAGGTATAAAATTTTATTCAAAGGCCACATCATGAGCAGCTCTTTCCTGGCAAACGTCGCTTTAATTATAGCCGCATCCGTGTGAGAATTCACTTTTTCCAAGAAAAAAAGTCGGCATGTTTCAGGACGCACCTCATCAATTACACGAAAGAACTAATTATGTAGTTGCCAAGCGTGACGAGAGAGGCACAAGTATTGTACTCATACTACTCAAATTAAGAGGCATTATTTTTCAGACGAGGAGACACGCGGTTTTTCGAATTCCTGGGAGATGTCGCACTACTTCTTGTCCTGCGAAAAACGTCGTGTTCCGAATGAAAACTGCCACTTCTGGATCTACCCCTTCTCGGACTTGCAACAATCGATGAGTCTACTGCTTCAGTAGATCGGCCCTTTCTCTTGCCTACATTGGCCACTGGAGATGCTTCAGAATTGAGTTTCTTCACGTCGAGACATTGTATCTCGTCAGCTTCAGTCAAAGCTTCAAGTATAAACTCGTCGGAACAATTTCCCGGAGTTGGAGAACGTACAGAAGAAGCCGGTTTGGGATTCAAACTTGCTTCGACGCAGTCAACTTGAACCAAAGACAGTTCGGCCGTTACGGTGGAAGACTTCGCAATCTCTTCATCTTTCTCCGGTGTGTGCTGTATGAATGTCGTTGACATCTCAACGACAGACGACGTCGACTCCATTGACAGATGCTTCAACAAAAGTGGAGAGGGATCTTGCGATTCACAGTTAACCTTTTCATTCAACTGGTCTTCTTTCGACATTTTGTCAGGTGGGATCTGGAATACGCAATTGAGAAAATGAAATTTAAATATTTTTCAACAATGAAAGATGGAAATACTCGGGCTGTAGTAGTTCTACGCAAAGTAGAGAATTCAAAAGTTACTGAAATTCCAAAATGTTAGGAAAACCGGACGAAGTACAGAGATCCTCTTTGTACACTCTTTAAAGGAAAATCTTTCTGCCAAGTTTTGTTAATACTGTATCAGAAAAACCAAAGCAAAATTCAGCCATCCTTTTATTCCCTTTTAATGAATAATCAGTGAACGGGTTGATGATTTTGAAAAAGTCTAAAATTTTTCGAGGTTCGCATACTTACGAGGGCAGATAAAGAACCTGCCTTACAGTACCAATATCATCTGGAGTGACGATAAAAATGTGATAACACAGTTATGAATATAATGACTGATATGATCCTAAAGATAGACATCAAAATGTTCCGACTTCTTTTCTGACTCAATACAGAACCCGAGACCAGTCATAAATGAAGTTACATTTTGAAAGACAACACAATTCCTGGAGAACATAATATTCACAACAACAAAAAACCGCAAAGATAATCAAAAATAGCTCTTTGAGCAGGAATGGAAAAATCAAAATAAAATTAATTCCCAGCCAAAAAAAAAAAAAGAAAATTTGTTCTTGGGAAAAAAATATTTTCTGGGGAAATAAAATTATTCAAAGAAATGCGAATCATGACATACGAAACTAAATATACACAAATGACTCCTGGAAAACGCAAAACTAAATACAATATCTCAGGATCGATAAATTCAACGTTCTCTCGATCAAAAATCTAACAATAGTACGGCATATCATACGTTTTTAAAAAAGGAACAATCCAAAAGCTCTCGAGAACAATTTCATGGCACTGCGCAAAGATCTCCGAGGCGGCAATCACGAACGAAAAACTCACCCATCGCAAAATCACGAACAACTCCCGCTGTTATGGGGAAAACATTGAGCATCCACCACGCCATGCTTTTCTGTTCAATTCGACGAGCAGTACAGAAAGAGCTACTGCTAACCAAGAACAGTAGTGAGAAGGAAGAAAAAAAACAGACGGAAGATTTTTTTTTTTTTTTTTTTGGGTGGCTAGTTGATTTACGAAGGGGATCAGTGCGGTGATTCATACGGGAAGTCTTCACGCCGATCCCAATGCCCCAGGCTGGAAAAAGACGGATTAATACATGCTTTAACCAACGCTACCCGAGAATAACACATAAAACGAAATTCGGAAAAACGAAGCTGGAAATAGACCGCAAAATGAAATCATTCGGTGGGAATTCGGCACAGCACACGAGGGTATCAACAGAAGGCATCGGACTGATGTGAAGAACGCCCAGAAATAATCTTGAAAATGGCTTATACAGTACATTACAAAATTTAAAAGTCTGAACACTTTCTAAGATAATACAGTACCAGATGTTTTTCACTATTTTGCCGGAATCGCCTATAAATCAAAAGTTCGTAATTAATGTGTAGCTCGACGTGAAATCATTCTTATTCAACCTTCAGTTTTTAGACTTTTTAAGACAACTGCAAAAATTTAATATGGAAAAATTCGAACAATGGAAAAATTCAAACGATAGAAATACTGCATTTGTCCAAATGGGTATTAAATTTTGTATTTATTTTAGTAAAGCACTTCTTTTCTTTTAAAGCAATCACGTTAAGCAATCATGTGCACAACAGCATCGCTGAACTTCAGCTTATCTTTTCCAGCAGTTGATCGTTCATTTATTTTTTGCGGAAGAACTCGGATCGGAAAATTGAGATTTAAAAAAAATCAAAAAGCCTTTCAAAGAAGAGGAAATCACGAATATGACTCGGATGACGGCTTATGCAATTATGGTCGAAAAATATCGTATTCGAAAATTTTTTGGCAGAAACATGGCTTGAATATATGATGAGAATGACTGGGGGGAAGATACGGAAAGAATAATATCTAGCATTTTGATATGGCCACATGAATAGCAGCATTGATTATTTCAAAAAGACTTTAAAATTTAAAAAGTGAATCTATTAACTAGATAGATTTGTGGCAACAAAAATATCACGAAAATTCGGAACGGAAAGTGAGTAAAAATAGGACTAGACCAGTCCTCATTCCATAATTGTGTGCAGAAAAGCAGAGAACAAGGAGTACAAGGGATATCATTCGGAAATGCAGACGACCACCAGCATTCAACAGCATTCATGCTTGTTGAACCCGCAGCCTGAAAAAAAAACACACCTGCTGGACCTGCAGAACGCCCTTTTGCGTCGTTGTCAAACGTGCCATTCGAACGACGCCTCCGGCTCCGTCGGTTGCAACTCCGTCCGCGTTTCGCAGCACTACCGGCATTCGCGTCCGAGCGAGACCCACACGAGTGTTGATATTAGCCAGGCTTATCACTCTAACGTTTGGTCCGAGGTTCGGGAAACGAGCCAAAGGTACAGTCTTGAGGCCGATGGATTTTACGGCATTGGGGTTTCTCACTGCTGCTGATTGCACGACGACTGATCTTGGACGCACGCTCGTAATTTGAACGTTTTTCCAACTGGAAATGGCGGTGCGCTTAACGGGTTTCAAAGGTTGGGACGTCGGCACGCCGGCAACCTGGTTCGCAAGGATGCTGCTGCCAACGAAGTTGTACTCTGATTCTTGTACCGGCTCCTAAAAATTAACAACATTCCACATTTTCCTGAGTTCAGTATTCCAGATTGTTCATGACTAAACATCAAATGTTTAAATATTCTAGGATTTCTTCTGCACTGTTCATTCTCCAAAAATCTGTAGCCAGCACGGCTGCAACCACCCATACAATTATCATTCATAACTATGCTTGCTGAAAACTTCACCGAAATCGAAAAATTAAAAAACCACGTAGACGAAGTCGCTTGAAAATTCTTCGAAACCCTATTTTTTATTCCGCGCCAAAAAAAGATTAATGCGAGCTCCGTGGAAACTACTCAATACCGAATTTACGACCTATAAGAGAACAAAACGACGAAAGCAAAATGCAGACTCGTTTCATTAATTGATTCAAAAAATTGGACGCGTTTGATAATAATACAGTACTGTAATTACAGCTTTTCGGCCACAGGACTATTTAGTGACTTCTTAAAACATTCATGTGAGAAAAATTCTATAAGCCAACATGTGCTTCATTTTTCCAAGAACGAGATTACATTACGGTATATTTTCAAGTTCGGAGTTTTCATTTAGTAACGTTTTTAGAAGGCTATACAGCACTTCATAAAATTATTCAATTGAGGTAAATTCCCTTTCACGCGAATTGAGGCAGCATTTCAATATATGCCCAACTCAAATCTACTGATTTTCTTCAATGGAGTGATATACAGTAAATTATTATTCTAGTGAATTCGGGTAGCTTCTCACAGGTTCTTGTCGACTCAGCAATCCACCGGGCGTCATACTAAAATTCACTTTCAAAGTTTTCCCAGTTTGGGGCGGAGACGGCTTCTTCGGGCTCTGCGAAAGCAACAACACATTAGAAATAATTCTACCATGAACATAAAATAACAGCACTCACGATCGAAACTTTAGCAGGCAAACTGGATTCCGTAGCAGTTACAGCAAACTGACTTAGGGCGGATTCTGGAGATCCAAAGAGTACTCCAGCGCCGGATGTGCGTTTAAGTACGTTGAGCTGTGACACTGCGGGAATGACTGGGCCGACGGATGATGACGAGCGCAACGGTGTCGTAGTAGTATCAAGTCGTGGAAACTTGGTCACCATTGGCGCCACAGATTCTGTGCAGGGAAAATATAAAATGAGACTAAAACTGATGAAAAACTGCAGGATTTAAGTAAATTCCACACATATGAAAAGTTCCTTATTCACTGTGATTCTACGAACAGATTGAAAATGTATTAATGAAACAGTTCTTTTCACCTCAAGTTCGACGTCCATAAAGCCGCAAATTTAAGACGGTGCATGTCGGTGTTACCTGAATGATGCTAGGTTTTGCTCGGAAAAATCTAGTTTGAATTGGACGTGTTAATTTCCTTCAAGTTATTTTGAGTGAGTCAGCTCAGACGGGAAGTTATTTTCGGCAGGATTTATGAATTAGGCGACATCTGTCCCAACTTTTCCTCAACCAAACCCAAACATTCAAGAAAAGAAAACGCTAAAGAAACGAGCATTTGCGCAGCCCTCTTTCTCTCGATTTATTTTAACATTTCTAGGAGTACTTTGAAGGTTTCGGGCACCCATACTAAATGTACTGTAGTTCGCATGAAAAAGTCGAAGCTTATTAATTCGTATTACTGTACAAGTGTACAGTATAAACATTAATTTCCTTGCAAGAAGAAACTGGTACTCACCAGAGGCAGGTCTTTTAACAGCATTTCCAACCGGATTTCCAAGACGAAGTTTATTTTCCAGGGCCTGTGCAGCTGTCACGAGTTGCCCTATGGGAGTATTTACTTTGGGCAAAGGGCTTAACAAAGGTTGCAATCTAAGAGCACCAGAAGTGAGCGGAGAATCTGACAAGCCAACTGAGGGAAAGATGTTCGCCAGGGCAGCATCTGCGGCGTTGTCGCAGTTTTCACTGGCGATGGCGCCTCCAGTCGCCTCTCCCACGTTGATGTCGAGAACTTGGTCATCAAACGTGTCGAGAATATCTTCCGTGTCACCTAAAATACTCGCGATGGCTGACTGCAAACGTGCTTGCTCAACCCAGGAGCCATCTGCAGGCATGTCGACTGAAAGCAAGTAAGATATAGTTTCGAAAAATTTTCCGATTAAAAAAATTACACGAAGGTAAACTTTCCTCGTATTTATAAAAACTACAGGCATCTCTCGTGAGCTAAGGTAGAAATACGCGGGAGCAATTTCCTTTGGATGCTTTCAATTAAAAATGAACTCCACCTACGACGCAATTCAGGCGACCAGAAAAATCCGCTGAGATTTTCGCTTTAAAGAACCCCCTTAAGATGAGTGGAGAATACCATGGAACCTTTTATTATACTGTGCAGAGAAAATCGTCGTAGAGACAATCATGCTAGACCATAATAGAAGAATGATAGTTACTGCCTCGCGTATTTTCAAATATTAAAGGGAGCTACTTTGTTCCTAGATGAAAGCATACCAGAGGGATTAAAACTAACGGGATTAATCCTCAACACCTTTCGTTCGGATCATGTTGAAATTCAAAGCAGCCAAGGTGAGACTGGATCAAGGACAGTTTCACAGCTTTCTACACGTACAGAATTAAATCACGTACAATACAATATTAGCTCAGTACTCCCAAGAAAAATACAGTACTGTGTACCTGAATGCGCGCATCCTTACGAGCTATGATCCTTATGAGCACCGGACATATCCAGAGTCAAATCTCGAATACAATTTAGGTTACAGTCATTAAGAGGAAATCCAATGTAAACTTACTTGGAACAGATGATGATGAAATTGTAATTCCAGAAGTCATCGGCGGCAGCTCAAGCTTGCTGCTTACTACAGGTTCCAAAACAGGGCCAATAACCCTGGATGGTACAAATCCTGCCGTTTGATCAAAGCTACTTGGACGAATAGCAGAACCAGAAGCCATTCCATGGGTTGACCAAGCACTTAATCCATCACTGCCTTTTGGGGCTTCATCTGGACCAGAGATACAGCCCAGATACTGTTGCTGCTGCCTCCCTATCGTCGCTTCCAGATAATGCGAGATTTCATTCTGAAATGAATAATATAATTAATGTCTCATCAAATATCAAACCACATTAAGATGTAATGAACAAAATGAAAATTTTCTGAACCTTTTGCTTCAAAATAGACGTTGTTTTTCATACTTCAGTATTGTATTGTAACACTTACAATCAGCATAGCATCAGCAACATTTTGAGTGATTTTCTCCCTCATTAGTGTTTCCGGCGAAAGCATCAAGTGCTCATCAGCTCCACCAACGACAAGAAGACTATTCCCTCCTTTCATCTGTGACCTCAAGGCTTCCAGATCTTGTAGTCTGGCGTAAAACAAAGTTATCAATATTGCCGTCAAAATGGAATTCGGGAAAACATACCGCGTATTCACAGCATTTTCTCCAACAATGAAGAGAATATCGCAGTCAAGATCAACGAGCGAATCGTCAGCTTTCCCACGCTTTCCGACTAAGGTGCTCGTTGGGAAACCAAGGCAAATAATCGCAGCAATGCCTTGATTTTTTATTTTCTTAGCCAGCTGGAGACAATAGATGCAAAAATTGATCAAGTACAGTACTGTACAACAATCATGAAGTACTTGAGCATAGGAATCACATTCACCTTAATACAATCTGGTGCATCACTTATTTACTTCAAACGAATAAATAAGGAACAGCATCTTAAAAAAGCGTAAAACGTACAAACCTGAGCACACGAAACAGCTCCTGTATCCCATCCAATCAAAACAATAGGATTCAAAGCCAAAGCCGCTTCTTTGCTACTGTCCAATGGAATTTCTTTCTCGGAACCGGGACGATTCTTCTGAGACTGGTGATACATGAGATTCAGATGTTGCCGAGTCTCGGTAATTTTTGACATGAGAGCGACTTCAATGCTTTCCACGTAATGCTTCGCAGTCCATAAACTGCCGCCTCCTGCGAAGTAACAGAAAGATTGATTCAGTCGGCAAGGCAAACTAAAAAAAAAGTGATGCACATCGATTATCGTAAAAACAATCGACATTCGAAATTATCATTGAAAAGAAAGCTTGCATTTGATTTTTTTATGAAATAAATTACCAATTGTAGGATTTGCCAACACAACATTTCCCAACTGCTGGAAGCTATCATTCCAAAAAGCACGCCGCTTCTGTTGCGAGGAATGTCCCGATGATCCCTGTTGCGGAAAGGCCTCCAGAACCACCAGGTTCACATTTCTCTAAAAAACCGACAAAAACTTTAAATTGATAAATAAAAAATGAAATCAATTATTTTTTTTTACCATTTTGCTAATGCTGTGAATTTTCGGAAGTCGAGGTTCCCACGGTTTACGGAAGAGGAAATTTAATGCATCCGGTGGAATCGACCGTTTCATGATTCCAACTCGGAACATGTGATCCACTTGCGCAGGTAACATGGAACGGAGCGTCTGTCATTTAAAAAATAAAATAAAATTACTGCCAAATACTGCCCTGGCAATTTTTGTAATGCTACGTTTGTTTATCGTAGCGTCACAGTTTCTATAATAATGCCAAAAAACGATTCATCAAGCAATAAAAAAGACTTCGCGTCATAAAAATCGTACGCTACTATTTGACCAGCTTCAGACGTCAGTTAATACTTGGATCCCTTTGAACAAAAATTTAAACTAAAAAAAAACATACTCCGCAAAACTTCCCCAAATCCTCAATTTTCTCTGAAGTTTTACGATTCGTTGATATGAGGACTGAAGTTGAAAACGTTAGGTTACGTTATAAGTTTACAATGGGTAATGGGTAGCGCTAGGTTAGATCAACTTCGGCTCATAAGTGATTCACGCGACACCTACATGGTATTTCAGAAAGCAAATGAGACATGCTGGAGGTAAATGTTCTCATGCAGATGTGCCGAACAGACATAGGTGCGGATGTCACGGTTACACGAACCTGGATGACATCCAAGTAGACTGCCAAGTCAGAGTAACCTGCGTTCTCCATCATGAGCTGGTGAAGCCAATCTGTTAACTCAGATTTCCATTCAATCGAGGCAAACACTCCCCGGAGACGTCTCGCCGCCAAATCAAGATGCAATCGGACACTTGTGTTGTTGTCCGTACTTGGACAACAACGAAAACCAAGCAAAGCGTCAGTAATAATTTTCATGGCCTTCTGAAAAAGCTCCAGCTGATCCTTGCTCCAAGCAAGCCTGTAAAATAAATATCCGATTAAACTTGCTACAATGAGAAGGCAAATTTCAAGGAAAAAAAGGGATTTGGAAGCGAATGAAAATCTTCACCGCCTGAAACCCAATTCAGCACTGTTATTTAAAAAACATTGGAAATTAGGAAATTATATAATCAGACCCCTACACAGAATTTTTATGGAAGGTTGGCGGAGAATTTCTCACACTATTCAACGTCTTGCGCAAGTAATTACACACTTCTTCTTACGTTAGTCTTCCTTTTCGTTTGGCATTCGCAACCAAAAATTTTAATATTCTCCAGAAGCAAACCATTTTTCACGCATCACAAATTATAAAATTTTTTCGATTTCCTCAACAAAAAAGATAGCTTACTTGTTCAAATTAGCCTCCCAGTTCTCTTCATTAACGTCATCGGGGTGAACTAAAGAAATGAAAGCTGCATTTTCCCAGCTATCTTGCATGGACTCCTGGAAACCCTGTTTCGGATGAATAGATGGAGTCCATCTTGGAGGTGCCTTTGTAACACACGGCTCTTCAATCCCCACGTCAACTTCCTCGCTTTCCACGTTTGCACTAGAAATTGAAAACACAGAATTGTCAATCTGAAACACAAGCAATCATTAAAGACACTAACCTGGCTAGAGAATGTGATTCCAAGGGATCGGAAAAGAAAATTTCTCGCCTCGGTAACTTAAGCACAAGATTGGGAGCACTATACCATGGTTTGCAGTAACCATGCTCCACCAGACTAGGATGGACGATGTCCAGTCCGGCGTAGGTATACGCGGCTGCTAAAGACCGTGCCATCATCACTATTTATGCTCATTGAAGGCAATTACCGATTTCCTGCAAAAAAAAACCAGAGAAGGTTAGCAGCGTTGGCCCGGTATCTTGAGAAAAACCCGAACACATAGACTTGTACATCACAATGAATTTCAACATACGCATATAAACTGAAGTTCGCCAAAAATTACAAAATAGTTCTCACCCAACGACGCGAACAAATGAAAAGTGCAGCTCGAAAAAAAAGGAAGGGCGAAAATTCGTTTGTTTTCCAGGAAAAAGTACTGTACAACAGAATTTTGGGACCCAATATTCAACCGGTGGCACACAACATCAGCACCTGAATGTACAGTAGTTATTCGAGATATGCCCAAGCTATGTAATGCGCTGGACATGAACACGAAGACATTTTCTGCACCTGATCTCCAAAAATGCATTTCAGAAACAAGATTAGAAACTTTAAAAATAAAACGTTGGCTTTCACGAAACATTCAATCAATCAATTCAGCCATTCTTGCTTTCAAGAATTAGGAATGAAAAAATTGCCTTTCTTGAGTCTTGCTTTTAGATAAAAAAAAAAGTATGTAAAAATATAAAATCGAACGATGAAGTAGCAAAATTTTAAAATGCTAGAAAATGTCACAGCTTGAATTAAATTTTCACGATTTGTTCGCCTTAGCAATGCTCACCAAAGTTTTCATGTTAATCATTGAAGAAATCCAGCTTCTTCACGTGAAACTTGTTCTTTAGTTACGATTCTGACGATTTCAGAATATCACAAAAGTAGGATACGTCCACAAGCATCTGATCACTGTGAAACATTATTGTTTTTCAAAGTCGAAATAAAAGCACACTATTTAATTTTCCAGAATAATGCAGAAGACAAAATTTTTAGATCAATGGAGCGCGGATGAAGACAAAAGGTGTACAAATCAGCGTCTTTTTCGAGGACGGGTGACTACGGAAGCAGGGCGATCAGCATCCACCTTATTTACTGCAGCCATGACGCGTCTGAATCGTTCAGCTGGTTTCATATCCGTGGCTGGTTCAGAACTAAAAGAGCTCTAAAATAAAGGAGATGCGACTTGCATTTTATAGAAGTCAAGGAATCAGCCAACACGGAGAACCGCATTCAAGTTATTCTACGCAGCAACCCGATTTTGGGCAGCCATTTCAGAACAAAAACCAATTCGACATTAAACATTTGAAAACAAAAGGTGACCGAATCAAGTCAAGGTTTGATTTTTGTCCGAACTAACCGAATTCAACAATGGGGTTGAAAAACGGATCGCTTCGTCACAACTTAATTTTAAAGTTCAAGAAATTTCATCATTTAAAAAATATCGGTAAGCACAAATTTGTGAAGATTTTCAGGTGAAACGAACAATTTAAACATTGAAACTCATAAAGGAATATCTTGAGTAAAGGATGAATACTTGTTTTTGCATACAGTTCCGGTGGAAGAAAAGCCGTCGACAGTCAAGTGAACATGCAATTTCAAAATTTGGAAAAAAAAAAAAACGAACAGTTCAAAGACATATCAAACGAAATGTGGCCAGACATGTTTCAGAAATGTTCCGCCATGAAAGAGACATTTTTAGTTTCAGACGAAATTTATGAATAACTGCTAAAAGTAATCTCGCTGCTTTGGAAGTATTCCACCTTTATCATATTGGGTAAAATGGGTTGATTACCAGAAGATCAACTTACATCACTTGCGGAGTCATCAAGCATTAAGATTTTCTTACTCGCCAGCTGTTTCCTCTGACGTTTCTTTGTGGAAGCTGAAGAATTGAAACCACTGTGTTAAAAAATCCTGAATGTTAACAAAAATATGTTTCACCATTAAAAACTTCCAGCTTGGCGGAAGCGAAATCATTTTCATGATCTCTCTTTCCCCGCTTTGGAGCACTGCTTTCTTCTTCCTCACTGTCTTCAAGCAAGATATTCTTTGCTTTCTTTGTCAACTTGCTCGCAGTTGAACGGGTAACAGCTAGAGAAGGTTAACAAAGAATACTGAGTCAAAAATACATCTTTTATTTGGCCTTCAAATTTAGTTAAGTTCAAAAGGGTTTATCAATAAATAGATGTATTTTGCACCACTCAGACTATACAAAAATTATTGAAATTGCTATTGCAGCAGGTACACCAAATCTGTTCACATTGATAAGTAAAGAAAACTATCAAATCAGTGGCCAAGAAATCATAAAAATGCTACAATGTAGAAAATTAAATTAATCTCAAACTATCTCTAGAACTGCAAGGCAAACAAAATTTTTGAAATAAACTCTTGAACAGCAATCAAAACAGCCTAAAAGTAACTCACATGCAGTTTGAACACTGGATGGAGTTCTTTTTGGGCGCATTCTTCTTTTCAATGGAGGCGTCAAAATGGCATCTGTGCCAACAGCAGCAGCCAAAGCTTGAGGCGTTTGCGGAGGAACGAATTCCACATGAGTAGGTGAAGATGCACAGTTTCTTTCTACTTTCTCGACTGGTTTTACAAAAACCGTCTTTGGATTCCTCTCAACTGCTGGTGCTGCCCTGCAAAGTCAAGAGGAGATTCATTTTTCCCATAGCACATTTAGCAAGATTCTCTAGACGCTCTCTTGAAAAATTGCCAGTTTAAAAAAGATATGCACTTTCTGCGCAAGCAAGACTAATTTTGCCCTACACTTTGATGTTTGCTTCCAGACTTTTCTTTCATGTACTGAGAATACGGTCTCTCCTTCTAAGAATAAATCAATTGGAAATTTATCCAGTTTTCTTTGAAAAAATTTATATACAATATATATAAATAAATAAATAAATAAATAAATAAATAAATACGAGGACAACCAACACGCTCAAAAATAAAAAATTTAATTTTTTACTAAGACTTTGATCAAATTCAAATTGCCTCTGGGTCCCACCAGCTTAATAAAATGCTTTAAATCTGATGTTATTTTCAACATTTCAATTACATTCTTCTCACCTTGTATGATCGCCTGAATTTAGTTCAACCCCGCTTTTTGGAGCCAATTTCATCTGTTCTTGTAACAAACCATCTTTTGCGCTCAACTTCTTACACTCCTTCTGCAGAACAGCAATTTCTCCTTCGGCTTCAACCAATTCTCTTTCCTTCACCTACATATAAGAAGGGTTGTTGAACACAGTTGTGTTCATTCACTTTTTCTCAAAATTTATTCGCACCATAAGTTGATGAGATAATTCTTCCATGCGAGAAATATCTATTGTGCGGCCACTTTTCAGAGCTTCATTCTCCTTCTGGATTGAATTCAATTTATTTTTCATGGCCTTCAGCGATTCATGAATACCCTCACATGAAGCTCTAATCTTTTCTTCTTCAGCCATCTGAAACATAAAATCAATCAAAATATTAATGAATAAACTTGTTCGAAAAAATTTAAAAATAGGAACAGATCAAAATGGAAATTTACTTGTGCTTCAATGCCAGATTTCTCTTTCTCCAACTTGGCATTAGTCTTCAAGGCATCTTCCAATTTTTCCTTCAGGATCAAATTTTCCTGACATATCTTCCCATATGTTTCTTTGTGCAAGATTTGGGCAGATTCTAAGGAAGAAATCTTTTCCAGAAGATCCCCACACTTCTTTTCCTTTTCATCAATGACAGCATTCCTGTCTTGAAGAGTGTTCTCAAGCTTTTCAGAAGATTGCTTTTTATCTTTCAACTCCTCCACCTATTTGAATTAAAAGTGCACAATCTTCATTCACAGCACTTATAAAGTTCACACAACAACTCACCAAACAGTCATGATTCTTCTGAAGAACTGAAAATTCTTCCTTCATTTGTTCTGACTTGTTCTGCAATTCTTTGAGCCTTCAAAAGAAAATACATCATGGCTAACATCAATGAGTGGCTCGGAAGTAAAAAAAATCTAAATCCTTACTGTTGACATTGGTCTGCATTGGTCTGTTGTAACTTCAGCAACTTTCCTTCGAATTCTTCTTTCAATTCATTCACTTCCTGCTCGAAGTTCCTGATGTTTTCCATGCTTTCGGCTCTTTTTGCGTCAAGTTCCAACTGACAAGAAATCATGAAACATACGGTAAATACAAAAATTCTCAAGAATTCCCAACTTATCCATAATGAGATTTTTCTAAAGAAGTTATCATTGATTGGATCAAATTTTCTGGGTAATGGAATTTCAATAAGATTTTGGTAGGTTTGCAATGCGAGAAAAGTTTTCAAGAAGGTCGCATTAAGTCACTTGAACACAAACTTTAAAAAAAATATATACTAACCTTGGCATCTTCCAAGTTTGCCTCAAGACCAGCATTTTCATTCCTAAGCTTTTCGATCACACCCTCCAATTCGGCAGTTTCTTCTCTCTTCTGTGAGAAAAACTCAACAGCGCCTTTCACTTTGTCTTCCAGAACTTGTACGAGTTGGACGTGTTCTTTCAATTCTACTTCCAGGTTATTTGCCCTCTCAACAGAAGAGGCAAGCTGTTTCTCCAGTTCAGTCTTCGCTTCACGAAGAACTAATACATCTGCGTTTTCTTCTTCTGAATTCTTTCTCGGCGGCGAAAGCTCTTCATCGTCATCTTCGTCTGCAAACAATGCGTCAACGGTGGCCTTCGTCGATCTAGCTGCATCCAAACCCTTCTCGTACATCTTTCGAAGGTCCGCGGCGTGATCAGCGGTCAAGGTTTTGATCCTTTTGGAATGTGCATCGCGCTCATTGAAAAGAAGCTCTTTGTACTCCAGGTATTTCCCGCGGTAAACCTTCGACTGTTCTTCAAACGCTTCGCATCTGTAAAAATTAAGATGAGAATGTAAAAAACGAATCATAACATAATGTAAAAACAAAACCGAACAAAAAACATAATAGAAAGTGAAAAAAAAAACATATTAGAATGTATAAAACAAAACATAACCAGATCATGACGGGTAAGAACAGATAATCGGATAATCATTGAAACTCGTGGAATTCGGCTTTTACGATCAAAAAGCAGCTTCGTTCGCTTTCACACCATTACTTCATCTGGAAGGAAATCATTCAGCAAAATTTAAAAATATTTCAAGCAGGTTATAATTGAAAGAAAAAAACCTGTGCACTAGAATCGACAGCTCATCACTAAAATAAAAAAGTTAATTTACCAAAGCTCGCAAACTTTTCACCTTTTTATCCACTGATTCAAAAGCTCATCGTCCTCGGAGTATCTCCTAAATGCAGGAGTAGAATCTTTGACGCCCGTATGTTCGGCTGCTTCGTCTTCATGTTTTATTTCACTTGTTTGCACAGTATGCATTTCTTCATCAACAGATTTTTCTTCATTGATGATGGCCACGGAAGATGATTCGATCTCAGCTAGTGATGATGTCGAAACCTTCATGGTCATTCTTCTCGCATGCGCAACAAAATTTTGAAATGCTGTCGAAGATGGTTTTTCTTCAATTGAGTGTTCTTGCTTGCTTGAGTAAGACTTCAACACGACCTGTACACAAAGTGGTTTGTCATTCAAATCAAACTTGGATACAACGGAGCAAACCTCAGCTTCAGTGCAGAAACGCAGAACAGTTAGCGTTTCCGAGTGGACTTCCATGGAAGGGGAAACATTCACTAACATTCGAACTTGGCCTTGAAGGAAGAAATTCTTCAGCACATGACTTAAGCGACACGTACGGAACGGGATCACCACATTCTGCTTCGTTTTCCCATCAGCTTTTCTGCAAGCAAAAATGAGGTCATAATCTTCAACTTTTTACGATTAGCTAAGTTCTGGATCACTTTTACCCTGCTTCGACGAGAAACCAGTTGGTACACAAATATAAAATACAAGGGGAAACGGAAGAAAGTACTGTACTACTGTAAATTTAATCAAAGGTTTCATTAGCATGTGAAAGTCTTGAGGGATTGATGCCTCATCGTGTTGGAGAGTTTTGAAAAAAGTTATCACATTACTAACCTCATGGCACGAATACAGTTCATGAGAGATGAGATTGAGGCATTTATTTTCCTTGTCTCTCGAAAGGAATGACCTTTCGTTTCGGCCTTCTCCGCACGCTCGGCACCCGCCAGGTCACAAAATGAAAACCTGAATACAGGAAATATTCAGGTCGAATTGAAAGCTTCCAAAAAGAGCTTCGTGAATACGATATGTTTTTTAGATTTGTGTCAAGTAATTGACACTCACACTGTGGTGGATCCAGTAGTCGGTTGATCCAAGTCATCAATTCTGACGACTTTCAAGGTGAATATACAGTGTGATCGAGAAGAGTTGGTATTCAAAGCAGTCGAGGCATATTGTAAGTTCTTCATACCAGCTCTCCACAGAGTTAATGCCTCACTCGCATTTTGAACAGGTATTTCAGACAATCCTGAATAAAATAAATCAAATATAATCGCACGGATCATTCATTTAATGAAAACATACCTGCTACGTAGGATAAGTCATCTGATCCTGATTTGTAGTCACGAACTTTTAGAACTTCTCTGCGAGCTCCCAAAGTGATAGGATTCAAAATATCAAAGCAGCTCCCTTGATAGATTTCAAGGAAAGAAACAAATGCGGTCGCGTACGGATAATCGCTTTTCAAACCTGGAAAAAATTAAATTGAACAGGGCTGTACATCGTGGTCAGAAACAAATATTTCACCAGAAAACATACTTGACTGCGTTGATGAGACCGAAACGATTGAATCCATGAGGCCACTCGAGGAAGGCTATTGATGAAAAATTAGAAAACCACAATATAAAATGCCCTTCGATTTCTGGACAGTTCATCCGTCTTTTAATGGACAACACGACGAATTTTCAACTCACATCAAAATTTTGCATCGCAAAAAGTCTTTGTTTAGCTTGCTGTCGAGACTTTATGGCATTGTCATCCAACACGGCAATTTTAGTGAAATATGACGGATTCACGGGCAGGTCCGGTCTCAAATCACGCCCGTGAAAGCGGAAAACATCTTCTACGGCGCGCGATATCACTCCCGGATTTTTCCTCGTTCCTATCAAAAGATTTTTACAAGTACTGTACTATCTATTCGTTAACCTCTTGAGTATGCAACAGACCTCTCATAGTGTAAGTTTTCCCTGCACTCGACGTGCCATACGAGAATAAGACCGATATCCCAGATTCCGGTTGTTCTCGAATTGCACACGCACATACGTTTTCATAAATTTCCTCTTGTGAGGCATCGTCCGTAAAGACACGCGTGAATTCCATCCTGGCGAAAGATGGATGTTATGTTATACTCGAGATATCGCAATGTTTTGCAACTTACTTATGCTCCATCGCATTTGTCACGATCTTCCCTTGAGTTGCATGCGGTTGGTGAAAAAGTAAAACATCTGGAGGCTTCGCGACAATAAGTTGCTGAAGAACAAAACGAGAAGTAAATGAAAATTCACTTGATAGTAACGAGGATCTCTCACCTGAGGGCCCGAAGGAGTTAGAAAATCGCCAACTTCATTGTCGATCAATGGACGAACGCGAACAAAAACGCCGAAGTTACTGACTTCAGAAGATTTCTGGTCATCCAAGGAAAATTTCAGCTTTGCGGGCCCTGGATCACCATCACGCACCAAAGTTTCACGAATAGGGTCTCGGGGAGGTTCTCCCTCGATTCCAAGGTAGGACATGTTGAACGTGAAAAAAGGCCCTGGAAGAATTACAGCACATTTTATGAAATTGCTTCAATGACACAGCATTCGGCGTGAGCCCGGCGGTTAGAGCTTCGAAGAGATAATGTTCTACAGGAATTCCAGAGTGAAATTCTCCACTCAACACGTGCAAATGTTTGTCACTTGGCGTGACATTCTACGCAACAGTTCGCACTTCAACTTCCGACAAGAGTACAAGTTGAACTGGCGGTTTCCGGTTCCATCCCGCTCCCCTCCCCAATTCCGGTGGTCAGTTTTTCATGTTTAGGTACTCGCCCGGTGAATCGGGATGGCTGGGTTGGATACCTGATTCCTGTCTTCAATGTTTGATAGATGTCGCTAAATGTAAATTGTCAGTTATTCACGGGCATTCTTCCATGCAATAAACGGAAACAAAGGCCTGTCCCAGCGCATGCGCAGCAAGCGCAACTCTCGAGAACTTCCGGTTTGCGTTTCATAATTCCTAAATACTTTTCGCTAAAATTAACCTGAATTTTCCGTGGCAGTTCGTATGCTACCTCCTTATACTAAAATTACTGTATATAGGTATCATATTTTTCCATCAGCACTACGATGTTTTTCCGAAAATGCCATGAATCCTTCATCATTTATATCCTATTATACACTACTATTTTATTGTCTTTTTCGATGGCTTGCAGAGTTGCAGGATTCCACGTAAAGCGTCAGCTCGTTGATCATTGTTTACTGGTATTGTATGAGTGGTGTTCAGGCGTTGGAGAAGAGATGAACATAGATGTCACTGAAGCGTTCTTTCCTTCGGTGCCCCTTTGGAGCAGCGGATCTTGGACACTATGCCAAAACCACGAAGGAAAGTTTCGTGGTAGGCTGCGGAAACATTTCCGTGATGAACACTTCTGACATACGCGACGTGAGTTTTGCAGTGGCGTTGACTCCGCGGAAAAACTTATTAGCCGCAATGTTTTACATACATTGAAGCCACATTCTTCAATATTTTTAGTTCTGAAAATTCAAGAAAGCCGCACCGATATTCAGTTTCTGTCGAACGAACAGCTACCGAAGTTCGCACCTTGGAGAAGCCTTCCACCGAACAGGCATTCCAGAATTTAACATAGGTCCTCACGTCCAATATATTACCATCACCAACGAAATAGTAAGGACCCTCCAAAGGCCCCTTAGTAACGACATCTACCCGCGACCTTTTGAACTAATGATCCCAGAAATATTCTCCCACCCAGCTAACCTCAGGACTGAAGGATAACCCGATCGGAGGAGAGGTGTGCGAGGACCGGAGCAGAGATCATCACTTAGCTTCTGACTTTGACTCGGACTACATTGTTTTAACCGGGACTATTTGTTGTGAAAGTGTTGCTGTTTGTGTTGCTGTTGTCTAAGAGTTCCGAAAGACGAATAAACGGACTCTGTGAAAATCGTAACGCTGGACGAGGATTCTTTCATCAAACCTTACTGGGGGTTCGTCCGGTTGTTTCCTGATTGTCCCAGCGTTGCGACGATGACTCGCAACACAGAAAATTCCAAGGCTGCGGCGCTACCCTAAGTGCCACCAACCCCTCCGACTGACGTTTCGGACCTGCCAGCGCCGCGCGCCGGGCCTTCCAACGCAGCTCAGGAGTCACCAGCCCCGTCGATGCGGAGTTCCCCAGCACTGCCACCCACGCCTTCGCCGTGCAGCAGATGGGAGACTATCCCGCTACCGACCTTACAGTACCTGGCAGCGGCGTACCGTTTGGAAGCTCCACCCGGGGCTCAGCGCTCTGACTACGTCACCCTCCTGGAGGCAAGTTGCATCCCCGCGTCTCTCGCACAGGGTTGGATACCACCCCCCGGGTGGCACCTCCGGCCCCTGGATTTGCAGATTACGTCGTGGTCACCGCCAACAGCTCAGGAGATCGTCATCGCTAACCCAACGCCCGTCCCGCCAGTCATTCATCCACCATGTTACCGACCGCCTGGAGAACCCCAGCTGTCGGACCTACCTCGGCAACGCGAGAACGAAAGCTTCGAGGACTACGCTGACCAACTTCGCCGGATGCCGGCGGTCAACAACGTCTCTACAGATATGAAGGTATGGTGTCTGTTGAACAAAACCCATACCCTGGTTCGCGAAACGGCATCAATCCTATACGGCCGAGGCATTCGGGATTTTGAGGAGCTCGTCACCGCCATCGCGGTTTCGCATCCCACGCCGCATCTGGACCGCTTGGATCGATTCCGCTACCTGTGACCTCAGAACGGGGAAAGCTATGTGAGTTTTGCCGGCAGGTTAGAACATTCACTCGATTCCTTCCTGGCACCGACTCGACAACCGGTTACGGCGGAAGTCATACGCCAAAAAATGCTGATTGACCAGCTGGTCGCGGGCGCGCCGACCGGTCTCCAAGACGAACTACGCCGGAAATGGATTGACAATAGGGACTGGACCTGGGCCGAAGCGGTTTCCGAAGCGGAGCGCTATCGGTTACATCACCATGCCACATCCCGTCACGGAACCAGTTCTCGACAGTCTTCGAAGCCAGCCGGTACCAACCCGAAGGCGACCGGTTCCCGAGGACAACGACAGTGGTGCGAGGGGCACCGAGCTTACGTGCGTCATTCTCCACAGGACTGCCGCATACTCCAGCGTCAGCAAGGCCCTCCTCCGGCGGCTCCCGCGGCGGAGACAAATCAGGTTGCTCCCCAGCGGTCGGCTGCACCCAATGCACAGCCGACTTCTAATACTCAGTCGGGCAACGTGTTTTATTGTTTTCATTGTAACGCGCAGGGGCACATCGGTCGTAACTGTCCTTTGATCTTACAGGGAAACGGTCGCCCGTCACAGTGAACGCGGCGCACTGTGTAGATACGGACCTCG